ATTAGCAAACGTTCTCATTGGCTCCCTGCCCACCAGGAGGCAAAGGAGATCCACTTATTACTACAGTACTTTTCTATATAGCCATATAGGAAAAGTTATATAGTCATTTCTTATAGGGGTTCTTATGTACCAAGAATAGGACATCTTCTATAATGTCCTGCTGCTTCTGCATGAAGTAAAAGTAGGTTCCCTTTTCACTTAACCTCCCTGAACGTCTATATCTCAATTCAACTGGTAAAGGAACCACTGGTTTGGTCCAGGCTATGATGGAATCAGAGGTCTGTTTAAAGTGAAACATCAGCTGAAGCTTATTTTGCACAGCGTAAGTGACCAATTTCATTGTCAAGATCCTTTCCCATACCTCTCCCCTCCAGATAGCTTTAAAATTCTATCTGGTGATGGCCTACCACTTGAACAGCAAGTGAAGGAAATTTTTTCAATTGGGACAAGGCGGTAATGAAACCTTCCATACCCTATTTAGTTTTAAAAAAGTTTGTCAACATAACATTTCTGTGGAAGTGTCCTGAATCCTGAAAGTAAAGATAGCTCAACTGAGGTTTAATTTCGCATGACAGAATTTGGACCCTAAACCTGGTAGATTGATGTTTAAGTAAAAAATCTTTAAGAACCTTTCTCATAAGATTAATTTCTCCTCAACCTAGTACTAATGAAATCTATAGTCAAATGGCTGAATGCAAAACTGAAAAGAACAAATGTGAACAGTAAAAGATTTTCCATTTCTGCGTAGCTAGTTTGGGATTTTAAATCTGCCAAACTGCATAGCCAGAAGGGTGACTTTATTTTCATTAGTGGAGCCACCTCCTTACCCACAGCCTGTTGCTTGGACAATGAAGGACCAGGATTCTGATTTGTCATCAACTCTGGTCTCTCCTGATGGCATGTTCCCTGATTGCATGTATGCATTCAGCAAAGCCTGATGAGCTCCTAGCTTTTCCCCTCCGGTTCGAAGTCTGAGGCCTGCTGTGCACATGGTGACAGAAGGCAATTGTCAAAACCAATTTAGTTCCATGTACTTATCTACAGAAGGTGCAGAGCAGACCCAGGAGCACCTTTATAAATGCAGCAGAAATCATTATGCACCCTCTGGAACACAAGCTTTTCCCACATTGTGGCCTGCATTTTACAAGTTCAAAAAAAATGCAGGCCATAGCATGTGAACCCTGCGCTATCCTACAGAGTTCTCCCTGCTTTGTGCTGCATAACATACTCCATGGTTGGAGGAGAGGCTGGTCACATGACAGGCTTCCCTTTCTGCATTTTTCCCCTCAATTTCATTAGAACAAAATGTGCTTAGTGCTCTGCTGGCTTAAGTTTGTAAAGTACACTGCTTTGTTTTTTTCTCCCTTTTGGAAAGTGGTGTGGCTGTTGCAAGGTTCCAAAGGACACCCTAGGTGTGTTCTACAGAATCTATTAGTTGTGAAAAATTGTAAAGAAGTTCAGTTCCTAGGAATGAACACAGGATGTAAAGCTACTATCACAATAAGATTTAGTTCACTACATGGTTAAGCTACATTTCTATTGGCAAACTGCCACCTGAGACTAAAAGTTCACTCCTTTATAGTCCTATTACACTCTTGGGTCCAAGCTGCATTTTCTATCAGAACTTTGATTCTGCAAAGTACAACTTTAGCATTGTCCCGCTGAAATATGCAAGGCCTTCTCTGAAAAGTCATCTGGATGGAAGCATATGCTGCTTTAAAAACCTGGATATAAATTTTTAGATGTGCAAGCTGCCCATTCCATACGAACTAATGCACCCCCATACCATCACATATGCAGGCTTTTGAACTCCATGTTAAAAAACTGAAAGGTCGCTCTTTAGTCCGGAGGATGCAGCGCCCATGGTCGCCCTAAAGAATTTTAGATTTCTCTGACCAAAGAATAGTATGCTACTTTGCAACTGACCATTTTAATGAGCTTTGGCCCAGAGAAGATGGTGGTGTTTCTGGATCATGTTCAGATGTGGCTTCTTTGCATGATAGAGCTTTAATTTGCATTTTTGGATGGCACGGCGAACTGTGTTTTAGACTGTGATTTTTGGAAATATTCCTGAGCCCATGTAGTGATGTCCATCACAGAATCATGCCTGTTTTAATGCGGTGCCATCTGATGGCACGAAGATCACAGGCATCCAATATTGCATTTTTGCCTTGTCCCTTGTGCACAGACTCTTTTTATATGTACTGTAGATGTTAATCTATTTAACGTCTTTGCAATTTTGCGTTTAACATTTTTCTGAAGTTAATTTTGAGATTCCGCTTTTTACAGATTGGTGAACCTCTGCCTATCTTCTGAGACACTCTGACTCCCTAACATGCCCTTTTATACCCAATCATGTTATCGTCCTTTTGTCAATTAACCTAATTAGTTGCAAAATGTTCTTCCAGCTGTTCTTGGTACCACTTTGCCAGCTTTTTGTTGCCCTGTCCCAACTTTTTGGAGATGTGTTACTGCCATCAATTTCAAAATTACCTTCGTTTTAACATTTGATGTTTTCTATTTTTATTTGTGATCAAAATATGGTCTTGAGATTTGCAAATCATTGCATTCTGTTTATGGAATTTTACACAGCATCCCTACTTTTTTGGAATTGGGGTTGTCAAATTGGTTTTTGCCTGTGCTGAAACGTCATAAACTGCATATGGGACTGGACCAAGATAAGGTTTTCAGTTGGAAAGTTGTGCCCTTAAAGGTGCTTTTTTTTCTGGCAAATTTATTTTAGTTGTGTTGCATTAATTCTGTTTTCGACCATAGCATTCGTACCCATTTTTTGTTCATTTTTTTTGGCTTGCCTAAATGTTTTCTGGTACGGTGCATGAGCTGTCAAAAATATTCTGATCCTTTTCCAGACAGTGGGGGAAACGCAATTGCCATTTCCCTGCCCTCCTGTGAAGTGATGCAGGGTAACACATACTTGCATGCATGTTACAAAAAATAGCATAGAAAAAAAAGCTTTCAACAACAGAGCACAAACCACGTTCTTCATTCACCACTTTACTAAATCAGTACATGATTATTAGCCTTGAACTGCAGACTTACCTGCCATCAAGGCTAGAGTGATACCAGTTGACTGCTTACATGGGAGGCTATGCATTCTTTTTTCAATATTCTATACAGCAAAAATGTGACATGGAACTTATATGTATGTGTGTGTATGTATGTATGTATGTATGTATGT